AAAAAAAATAAATTCATTCTATGAAAATGGGAGGTAGGTAAAGGTAAAGTCTGCATAAGAGCAAAGTGGCCCATGAGGCTGGAGCTTATCCCGGTTTCTGTAACTTGAAGCGAGGTAACTTAAGATTATTGCTGATGTTTCCCGCTTTTGTCTTGAAACCAAGAGTAGTTCTTAGAGAAGAATATTGGTATTATTTATTTGTTGTTTTTCTGCTTGATTATTTTTGTTACTCCCAGTGTATGTATCCAGTGCAGTCCCAAAATCTGTAACATTACCTGTCAAAATTCAAATCTTTGTTCAGTGGATTTACACCTTAGGTACAAAGAAGCTAAAATAAAAAATATTAATGTAAATTTGCTTAACACTGAGTTATACTTCTATGAAAGATTGCTTTACCTACATTTATTCCAAGACCGAAATTCAAAGAAACTTGGTTCAAAATAACAAGATCTATATTTGACGCATCTTACAAGTAGTATGTTAAGCTAAGAAACTAAAATTACATACAATATTAGTAAACTTGTGAATTCTTTTTCTTCTTTCCAAAAAACATCACATTTTATAGTAACCTTGGTCAAAGTTTTGTTCACAGCTTACAAAATTCAATGTAAAAACCAAACACAATCTCTATGAGTAAGTGTACATGTATAAGGATACATGAAAACCCCCACTTAGCTCAAGGCAACTGATAATTTTAATAAAAATTATACAAGTTACCTCTACAAAGAAAATAACACCAAAAGCCAATCTTCTTTTTGTACTAGTCTTAAGGGAAAACTGTTTCTCAAAACATCATCCATACTTCATCAACATCCAACGTAATCAGTGATTCTATCCACAAAGATTTCACTGACAACTAAAGGCTAACTGCAGCCTTTTCCAAGTCTAGCAAGAGATATTTTCTAGGTTGCCAGATGCCACAAAAACCCTTTCTAAAATGATGTATACTCTATGTACTTTTAATGAACGATTAAAAATGTGACCAGCTTGACATACTGGTATAGAATTATAATATTACCAAATCTGAACCTACAACTATTTTCTTTGCTGTAACAACAAACATGTTCCAGTCAAATGGCTTGAGAGTTGGGTGCACATTCAGCGTAATGTTAAAATGCAGTTTTCATAAAACAAAATTTATATACAAAGGGTACCTCAATAAACCAGTGTGCTAAAATCAATACAAACTGAATATGTTTGCCTACTGTTCATAAGGTACATGCACCTCACGTGAATGATGTAGGACTATTTTTTTGACAATCCCCATACACATGTATGAGGCTTGCAAGATAGTTTACTTATCGCATGTCTCATCGACACTGTTTGTGTTGACTTTAACATCGTCTCTCGCACAATCGGTAATTGACAAGTCTAAAGGAGTGTCCCTTGATCTGTTTTGAACCCGAGCTCTATTTCCTCTTCTCAGAAACTCATCAATTGATACAACGCACTTATGTTTCCAGACTATATCTTGTTCGGCTGGAGGAACAGAATACAGTTTAAATGCACAGAACTTAATAAGATCAAGTTTTCCACTATCAAGTGCAACTTTTCCTCTTGTGCCTGAGCAATTTCTGTTCAACATTTCATCTTTTGTAAATAGAACTTTTACCAAGTTGACGCTAAAGTTTCCCACAGAGCAACTTGTTTTCTGAATCCTTTCTGCCCATGACAACAGCTCTTTTACCTCCACAGTGTCACTAGACTGCTCATCTTGATCATCTTTATTACCACTACTGCTATCACAGTTAACACATCCAGCATTAAGAGCTGTTGACACTGGAGAGACAATTTCTGCATTTTGATGTGCCACACTTTCATCAGCAGACTCGCGTATTGATAGACTGTGCTGAGCTCCATTAGTCTCTGAAGTGTTACATGTAGACGAACCAGCCAATATCCTTGATGCAGCTTTAAATACCTTGCCATCAACAGTGCTTGGAAATGGCGCTGGTACATAACTGGTGTCACCCTGAAGTGATTTACTTTTTACATGAGCAACAGCTTCCAGCAGACTTGCCGATATACTAACTTCACCTGTATATTTGCTGTGCTTGTCAGGTCCTGAACGGTCATGATTTACAGTTCTTACTCCATTTACCAAGCCCCGATCTACTGACACTGAACTTCTTGCCGGTGACATTCCCTGTTGATTCTCCACGAGCTTTAATAGCTTGTCCTGATTTTTCAGAACTCTTTCCTGATTTTCAAGGAGCTTTTCCACTTTCCATAACAGTGTTGTCAGGCGCCCGTTCACTTCAGCCCCTAAGTCCATCGTGTGAAACAACTTCAAAGAAAGATTAGCAGTGTCAGGCTGAACTTTGCCGCAACTACCAGCAAATGATTTCTTTCTTTTACAGAATTTAACTACTGGAATGCTACTATTCTTAATGATAAGTGAAAAAACCTCTGTTAAGAACCCACTCCTCTATACCAACTTAATTTCCAAGTGTTGTTAGACAATTATTATTAACATCTGATTTCCTCTTACTATATCATTTCATTGTAGAGCAAA